ATGACATGTCAAAGAAGAACATAAGACAGGACCAACATCTGTAAGTCCATGTAGAAATAAATGATAGTGAATAATAACTTGACATGAACAGGTATACAGCACTCGATTGCTTACAGACGGTTGGTGTTTTCTGCTGCGACATTAACGCTAGTGCATAAACTTTGTTATTTTTAAGTATAAACCATTGCCCCCCTAAAATACACTCGGCCACCCCCTTGCTACCCCAAGGATAAAAGTCTAGATCCGCCACTGCGCATGCGGTAGCCGCGCAGATGCTGTGAGAGGGGTGGAGCTTAGAGGTGGGGCATGAGTGAAGCAGAGAGGGTGGGGGATTGGCGTGAAACCTGTATTTCTTCATATTTTCGGTCGAAGTCTGCTCTCTTCTCAATGTAACAGACTGCAGCTTTAATTTGAGTAGTTAAATGAGATAGTTTGCCAATGGAATGAGTATTTCTACTCTTAAAATAAGATAATTGGATAATATACACTTAAAATAAGACAAAGCAATTGTCTTATTAACTGGAGAGCACATCCAGTTAGTCACAGTCAGAGAAACAGGACTACACTGGAAAACAGGCCAAGCTCAAACATCTAGAAACAAAGGTGTTGATGGCAGCAGCACAGCTGATAAATGTGGAGAACATGACCCTGCTGGGGTTCTGTCAGTGTTTGGGTGGTGTGCTGTGGACCTGCAGCCTCCTCAGAGGAGATCCAGCTGGGTTCTCCATCTGATCAAACAGCTCATTCTCTCCAAAAGAAAAGACTGGAACCAGCTGAGCTCTGCACAAAAAGGAATGTCAAAGAAAGACACTGAAACACATGAGAACCCACAAACTGGCATTAATGAACAGACATCAGGCATGCAGCTAGGCCCGCCCACTGATTAGGCTCCACCCACCCGTGTTTCAGGGCCAGTTTGATGAAGCCCTTCCTGTTCTTCACCTGAAAACCAGAAAAACTGATCAATCCAGTGTCAATGGTCAAAAATTATAATGAGTCAGGTTCTGATCCAGTTCTGTTATTCTGAACCATCCGTTCAACCAGCAACCTCTATCAGAGCTACAGAAGTTACTGATCCAACAACCTCTTCACAAACGACCAGACTAACATTACTGGGATCTGGGATGGACTTCTGGTTCAGTCACCTGGGAAAGATGTGACAATATGGACCTACCTGCAGAGTCAGAGCCCCGGGTCGAGCATCCAGAGCTTCTGGAGCTCCGCCCACTGCAATCACCGCCACGTTTCCTCCTCCAGGACGGCTGACCAGATGGGACAGACTGGACTTACAGCTGGACACCAGTCCTGAGGGGAAATAGAAGACATCAGCACCAATCAGAAAGTTATCCTGAGCTATTTCTATGGTTCTGCTGCTATAGGCTTAGACTGCTGGAGGACATAGGGACCCCTTTTTCATCATTCTGCTTCATTCTATCTCCATTCTCCCTCTCTGCAAAATCTGTTTGTTCAATCTCTAACGTTCTGCTTTTCCTCATCAAACAACAGGATG